GTTTTAGTCACCTTTGTTGATTTTTTTTACTGAAATGAGATTTTGTCCTATTTTCTCATCATCCTATATATTCCAAAAGAGTGATTTTTCGTCTTTAATTGTCCTCCACGAATCATGAGAATAGTTCTTCCCAATAGTCAGATCAAGTGGAGTTCTAGAGAAAAAGTTCAAGAAATGCAAGACTTTCGAAAAAAAATCTCATTTTTGTTTCCAATGGCAGAAATCACGAAAATGTCCCGAGATGAGGTCCCAGTGTATCATAATATGACTGACTTTCGATCAGAAAAAAATTTCTCGAGTTCTGGCAGCATTGGAAATGTAGACCATAGTGTAATGGTTCCACTTTACACCCTGTGTAAGTTTTGTTCTGCGGACTTTTTCAGAGTGCTCTAGCTCTCTTTGAAGCCGATGAAATATCACATCTGATATCGAAAACCGCATGAAGATCGGTCAATTTTTTCAAAAAATACAGGTCTTCGAAATAGAGTCAAATTATGAGTGGCCCATTTAGTGTGTTGAGAACTGTATATCCATTTTCTTATGTTCATAATTATATCTGAGAATATTCCTTTTCAATCGCTGTTATTTGTTACAGCCGTAGAAAAATTATAGTGTATAACTCGCACGGAATGCTAATTTCCCACTCGAATGATTGCAGCATGAGCCGTAGGAAATCACTATCATTCCGTGCTCGTTAAACAATATACTATTTTGTATCTAGTGCGCCAAAGTATTTCGCGCACGAGTTGCAAACAATTTTTTTTCTACAAACGTCAACAAATATTGTTCTAAAATAAGTAATATGCTTAGCTTAATTCTTGATGTATGTATTTCGCGCACTGTTTCGCGCAAGGTGTCATAGTAACGTAGGAAACTGAAAGAAGCGAGGCAAAAAAAGTGTCCCTTTTTTATATGTTTGTAGAAAAAAAATTGTAGAGAGCTCTGAAAATAAAAGAGTTTGCGACAATGAACTAATTTGGGTTACTACTTCAAGATTATGAATTTTTTCACTGAAACAAGCGCATTATGTACACTTGTACAGTAGCAAACTCGGTATCAAAGTTAGATGACATGCAGCTAATTTGTTGACTAGTTTATTTCATTTGAGGGTGATTCATATTGTCCTCATTAAACTTGAGAATTAGTGTTCAAGCTGAGAGCGGTTGTGTACTATCTACATTGTTGATAATTATTACTTGTTGCATACGTTTTTAATAGTGCTTTATAATTTATAAGTACCATAATTGATGACAGATATATCATCATTAAGTATCCACCACGATCATTCATTACCAAGTGAATATTACCTACCAACCTACCTTCCTTACTCATCAAATTAATTATCGAATTTAAATGTATCATCATAACCAACAGACCAGAAATTGCTATCAATTTTTTTCAATAGTTCATAATTGTCACTATTCCTAATCACTAAATAATTGATGATACATATTATACAGGGTGTCCCGAAATTAGCCTGCCAAACTTCACCGGCGGCTTCTTCTATAATAATAATAATAATACTTTATTTTCCAATAAGACAATATTACAAATTGTATAGGAAATTGTCAGAACATAGAACAGAAGAAAAAATACAGAAAATGTAGAAAAAACGATTTAAAGATCAAGACCTATGTCTAGTCTAAAAATTCTGTCAGCGAATAATAACATTTTTGCATCAAAAAACTGTTTAGCGTCTTTTTGAAAAGAGCAAGATGCTCTGCATTCCTTATGTGGTCAGGAAGTTTATTGAAAATTCTTCTTCCGAAGTGCTCAGGTGATCTGGAGTCTTAGTCTAGCAAATGGTACATGAAATTGATCTCTAATCCTGGTGTTATAGTGATGATTCACTTCAAAAACTGACCTGTTTTTATATATACAGGGTGGGCCACCAGTAACGCCTCGGTCTCTAGAAGGCTAACCACTTATCTTCTTGGAATTCTTCCTCTCTAGGAAGTTGCATGTCAACATAGGCTACCATTTAAAATTATTTCGAAACATACAGGGTGTCCCCAAAAACCATAAAACACTGAAGTTAAACTTTTTTCAATCGAACACCCTATATATTATTTCATTTTGAGATTCTCCTTGATGAGCTGATTCCAACGACCCATCATACTTGGGGTCTAGCAGTTATAATTACTGAAATATAGGGTGTGAAAAATCGAGATTTTCCAAGTTCAAGAATTTTTTGTGTCGAAACTATTTATAATTGGTCAAAACGGCTTACATGTCCCTATCTCAACTTTTGATTAACTATCTACTGATATTTAATTGGGACATATACCAGGTGATCAAGATTCTGAATTCTGCACCACCCTGTATTTGTTTCAATTAAATGTCAGTAGATAGTTGATCAAAAGCTGAGATAGGGACATGTGAGCCGTTTTGACCAATTATGAATAGTTTCGACACAAAAAATTCTTGAACTTGGAAAATCTCGATTTCTCACACCCTATATCTCAGTAATTATAACTGCTAGACCCCAAGTATGATGGATTGTTGAAATCAGCTCACCAGGGAGAATCTCAAAATGAAATAATATATAGGGTGTTCGATTGAAAAAAGTTCAACTTCAGTGTTTTGTGATTTTTGGGGACATCCTGTATGTTTCAAAATAATTTCGAATGGTAGCCTATATTGACATGCAACTTCCTAGAGAGGAAGAATTCCAAGAAGATAAGTGGTTAGCCTTCTAAAGACCGAGGCGTTACTGGTGGCCCACCCTGTATATAGACATATTTCTGACCTATCAAAAATAGGAAGAAAAGTTTCAATGAACATGAGTCGAAAAATGTCTGCTGAAGGAGCTACTGAAAGGAGGCTCCTGAAGATGATATTTGTTGAATATTTCCGAAACGCCACGTGTTAAAATGATGCAATTTGGTACAAGAACTGAACTTTCTATGCCCAATGCGGTGAACATCGAATCATTCCAAAGTTTCATTCAGTAGTGTATAATACAGGATGGGACTACTTTAAATATTAATCAAACTTTTTTGTGTGCATATTTTTCGACAATTTAATCTCGGATTATGAAAATTCGCACCGTTTCACAAAAAAAGGTGCTCTTGTTCCGCATTGATCAGATGTATCATTTTCAAGTGAAATCGATTTAAAAATATTGATACATTCACATCTTATGCATAACGTTGCCAATTTTCGAATCATAGTGGCTATAAAAAATTCATCTACTTTCTTTTCACCAAACAATCTCATAAAAGCGCTAAAAATGGAATGATGATAAAAAACTACTTCAATTTTTGTGCATTTTTTTCCATTTCCACTACGACTCATTGCAATGTTATGCATAATATCTGAGATGTCACAATATTTTTAAATCGCTTATCTTATCACTATGGAACAAGAGTACCTTTTTTATAAAGAAGTGTGGATTTTCATAATCCGACATTAAATTGTCGGAAAATATGCATATGAAAAATTTTGAGCTATATTTAATGTAGTCCCACCCTGTACTATACACTCCTGAGTGAAGTTTTGTAATGATTTTTTTCACTGAATTCGGCATGGAAAGTTTAGTACTTGTACCAAATTGCATCTTTTTATCACATGGAGTTTCGGAAATACTAAAGAAATATCATCTTCAGGAGCACCTTTCAGGTTCCTATTTTTGATCGTAAAAGTCGCTGGTGAAGTTTGGCAGGCTAACTTCGGCACACCCTGTATTTGGTGTCTCACTTAAATGCAATAAGTACTCACCTACTTATGGACATTTAAAATGATCAGATTTGATAATTTTGATATTCATGAAAGTTTTTGTTATAGAGTGAGGACGCGTGGGTTGTAACAAATTCATTTGAAATTCAGAGCTTTGTTTCCATAAAATTCGTTTACACAGGGTGGCCCAAAAATAATTTGGAACCCCAACTTCATTTTTCAAGTGGAAATCTGTATATATTATTTAATTTTTTAATTCCAAATCCTTTTTTAAGTGATGAATTTGTTCCAACCCACGCATCATCACTTTATTTGTCATAGAACTAAAAAAAAGGATCATCATATTTCATATTTACTTATCCTAAAAAATCGTTTCCAAATTGTCTGTATTGGTTCATGTGGTACCAACATCATAGCATATTTCACTATATTCTTTAAAAACCTGAAAACAAGATCAGGAAATCTATCTGTTTTCAAACAATTTGAAACCACAAGAACTTTGACGAAATTTCTGATCGACCCTCGTACTTCCATAACTGTGTGGTCTGTCTAACTTGACTGAAGAATCAAGACTCAAGAGTGCATTGAACTGGGTCAAAAATATTGCTATATTATGCTGCCACCACCTTGACCTCCTTAGTCCAATATTAATATTTCATAATGGTAATGAAATTCAGGAAACTTTAATGCTGTTTTTAGGATTCCTGATACCCAAATCTGAATTGTTGCAAATTTTTCTAACTCCAAAATTATCACCCACCCGTCATTTCAATAAGTAGGTAATAAATACTTCCCTGATTTCCTTGCATAATAATATAAAGTATTATGAAAACCATAAGAATAAGAAATTGAAATGAAAATTTTAAAAAATTGACATATGCTTTGAAGCCATGGGTATTAGTGTAGGTTGGTATACCCATATGTGATCAACATTAGATAATTCTAATAATTACATCAATTATATTTCACTTATGGTAAAATAATAATTATCTAGAACATCTATGAAAAAAAAATTATAATACATATATATGTTATAGGTTAATAGGTAGGATAGGTAGGCACTATTATTCACACAATTTATATTTTTTAATGAATCCAAATACCTGAGTTTAATGAACATAAAAACTATTAAACCATATAATAAATAATATACCTACCTACATGTTTAAATGAATTTATTGTCTAACTACAATGGAATTTTGGAATCAGCTTTTCATCAGTAAGAAGCATAAAAGATTGTACCATAATTAATTATTAAAGGTAGGTACTTACCTACAATAATTTTAATTATCTAGGAGAGAAAAAATTGATGTGTCTCTTACCAGAATAAGAAGAAGTTGAGGTCTCAAGCAGTTTGAATGTGAAGGGAATATGAACCTTCATCATATTCATTTGAGGAACTCTTTGAGGAACCTGATGCATTGTTGTTGGAAAAACAAAGTCTTCTCCATTTACTCTCAATACCATCATGTTTCTGAAATCATAATTTCATGTTTTTGATTATATTACAATACTTGATTACTGAGTTCTATAGATGTCTAATATCAATCCCATTTGATAGGAGACTTGAATTGATTTTTTTTTGAAAAAATCACAAATGCAAAATATATGCAGGCCCCTTGGCAGGCCCTGTGCAACAGAAGACAATATGTGTTCATGAAAATCAGTATCCAGATTAGTATGCATCCAGGTATGCATATTAAAAGACTTGAAAAAAAAAAGGAGAAACATATTATTGTTTCAATTTAGTATTTCTCGAGGTATTTCTTATTATCTTTGATGCAGGAAATGCATGATCTAATTATTTCAGTTTGACTTTAACCAGTAATTTTTTTTCCTGAGAAATCCTGCATTTTATGGCAATGTAGGTAGTGTTTCTATCAAGGTTTCTATGTATCCTTGATGACTATATTATACAAATTGAATAAATTATGTGTTTATGAAATCCTTGAGAACCAGTGGGATTTTGGTCATTGATGTAAGTAATGTTGAAGTAGTATGTATCTACAAAAGTGGATGAGTTGAATATGAAAGATCTAATACTACATTCAATAGCTAACAGTCTACAGTTTAATGATCTTATTACATGAGATTTTCTTCTCAAATGCTGAATGACAACAATCACAGGGTGTCCTGAAGATAAAACAATATAATAATAATTTACCTTGTTATAAATAATATCATGGCACAAAAACATAACAGAACAGCGAGAACGGAGAAAATGTTCGTTAATTCCGCCGCTGATACTAGTAAAGTTGTCATTGTTTTGGTCACCATATCACTAAACAATGAATTCACCACTCCTGCATTTTATGCGGTTCGTATAGGACACGAGATTGTGTACTTATCGCTCGCCCTAGGCTTGCTGAAACTGAAGAAATCATCCAAAATGAACCAGCTTTTACATTTCCCCTTTATTTTGATTTGGCATTGAAAAATAAATCCAATTACAAAACAAACAGAAGACTATAGATGTGACGTTTTGTTATGACGTTTTGTTTTGACGTTTCTACTCTCCGAGATAACCTCAATTACTTCTTCTTTTCTCTATTTCTCCAACCACTAGTCATCATCTTCGGATTAATAATGAACGTTCTTACATCGAATATATAACTGATCTACTGATGTCGGTAACTGACACTAATGATTATGAACATAACACATGACAGAGGAGAAGAGAGAATAACCCTACTTTTTAGTTTGACATATAGAATATTATGATTATCACTTATTGATTATGATTATTATGATAAATTTTGTTCTTTGTTTTTAATTTTAGGTCATCATCAGCATAAATCTAGCAGAAGACACCAGCTTCGATGTCATGTTCCTTGAAGGAATGCTAATTTATGTAAGCTAGTCACTCAAATGCGTTCATCAGTCAGTTACATCTTGTCCAGCAGTACAAGTGAGCCAAATATGTCTCACCCGGACTATGAACAGTATTCCCATGACCATGCAGCTCTTCTTGTACTTGTTAGGCACATAGGCAATCAGTTGAAACCCAAAATATTCATGAAATTCTATGACAGGATTTCTAAAATCAATTCTGTTAAAATCACAGACTCAACTGGAATTGTCAGGAACATCTTGATACGTTATGTAAAGGAACATCCTGTAGAGAATAATGATTGGGGTGACTTTCAAACACACAGAAGACTTTTGGGCTTAGTTTCATTAGGGAAGTATGACTCTCAGCAAGAGCTTAATGAAATATGCAGGGTACATGAAAGTTTCAAGGTGAAGTACAATAGCACACTATTTGACTCAAGGTGTATCTTATTTGGACCCACTAAAGAGTCTGAGTCCCCAGCAGATGATAGCCCAAGCTCTGGTAGTTCAGGAGACTCAGAGAATAATACAGATTATGTTATAGAGAAATTTACAACTCCCAGTAACTTCAAAACAAGAGCATTATTTTATGATGTATCATCACCTTGTGTAGATTTAGAATCACAATTGAATGAGTTTATTAACTCCTTGTTTTGGGTATTAGAGTCCAAGAGGTTGGAAAGATCTAGAGAAAAGCTAGAACGTGTATCTTTGCTGTTAGCACCATTTGAGAAAAAGGACTTTGTTGGTTTGGACATGGAATCAAGAAACAACAAAAAAAGATGTACTGGTAGAATGACAAAACATTTAGGTGATCTCTGTTTACAAGCAGGATTGCTGTGTGAAAGTTTGGCATACTATTCTCAAGCTGCTGAGATTCTGAAGTCAGTAAATGACTGGTTATGGCTAGGAGCTGCTTATGAAGGATTAAGTGCAGCTTCAGCTCTAGTGTTATACCCAGAAATGCAGAGAAACATTTCACTACATAGAAATGCTAGTTTACAAGAAGGTTCTCCTAGAAAGTCTAGTCAAACCCCACCTGCAACTGGTATAGTAATAAAAAAGGTTGTGGCAAATGCTTTGGCACCTGAAGAAATGTCCAGACGTTACCGTGAAGCCATTATTCACTACAGCAAATATCAAAATGCTGGGATTGTTGAGACAGAAGCTAGTTTCAAGGCAGCCAGGATTGCTGTAGAACAAAACCATGCACTACAAGCTGCAAGTTTTTTACAAAATGTTGTGTACATCAACTTGACATTGTCTGAACAAGAAAAAATTCAAAGGTTTGAAACACTGGCTGATTTATATACCCAAATTGGTTTTGTAAGAAAAGCTGCATTCTGTTTGAGACTAGCAGCAACAAGGTAAATCACCTTATTTACTATCCCTGCAAATGATTTTGAAACAATGTGTTAAATAGGTATGTTTCCCCTCAAAATCCTGCTCCAAATTGGGCTAGATGCTATGGTTTGATGCTCCAGAGCTTATCTGGCCATCATCTCACTTTAGATCCTGTTGAAATGAGAGAAGCAGACCAAGGATGGCCTGCATTGCAGATTCAACTCATACAGGTTTGTGGTTGATGTTGAATCAAACTCTGCTTATTGAAAATCAGCTACTTAGTTGTTTTTATTTCATATAGTAATTATCAAAAGTGTCTTCTACTGAAGAGAATGATTTGGTTATAGTTTCCTTCATGCTCAGACTACTCCTCTCCAATGATTTCAGCCTCATATTGAAAGAGAATTAAGCATAAAATAGAAAATTCAAGTTGTGAATATACCTACCTAAACAATTTGAGAAAATGACAACTACAACATACATGGAATAAATGATGAGTCAGTTTTTGTGCTGTTTCACAAGGTGGATCATCCTGCTGTATTGTTATTGGTCAAATAATCTTCCATTTCCACTCATAAAGCAAGGTTGTCAAGTCATCAATTATAATCAAATTACCAAAAAAATGTTAGGGTCCTTTTGTTCAATAAAGGATAATAGGAGGAAGCCATGATATTATAGTAGATTCTTAACTTTTTCGAGCAACCAGCATGTCCAAAAATGTTTTATACTCCATTACAGAATATCATGTAAATGTTGGAGACTTGTCAACATTGTGCTGAATGCTGAGAACTGACAAGGACACGCCAACAACTCGTGCGCCCTGTTGTCATGTTCACCAGTTTGAATGTCCTCAAGTGTGAATTAATAAAATTATCACTTACATAAATCTAATACAAGCAATAAGCCACAACACAACAACATTTTGAGACAATTTATTTTTCATTGCTAATCAGAAATATCCCCAAAATATAATTTATAATTCATGAATCATTGAATAACTATAATATTTCTGAAATTCCCAATCGTATTTCAGCATTATGGCAACTGTGCTACCCCTACTTACGAAATCGTGACGTCAGTTTTTACTTGCGGTAAATTTCTAGCCGTTTGAAAATTACCGTGGCTTCATTGATGATTTTAGCACCTTAAAATCGACCGAAAAATTCTCAAAAAATATGAAATTTAAAGGTATTTGGGCGATGATTATATTGAAGAAATAAAAAAAATAGTCCATTAGCCTATTGGAATGTGTTTATTCTAAATTCGAAAATATTCATAACATTCTTCACTTCAACTTTTTCCGCACTGAATGTTTTGTTTCTTTATTTATCATATGTAATTGATCAAGGATAGATATACACTGTGTGGATAATTCCAGTCCAATGAAAAATAGTATAAGTCTCAATAGCAGCCTAGTTCGATTTTGGAAGTGGTGATGGCTGTTGTTGAATAATTGAAATGCAACAATACTCCTATTTTAAGGAACTTGTGGTAGCTGCAAGAAGAACAGGACATTCAGCACTGGCAACCAGACATATGACATTTCTCCTACAGACTATGTGGCAGCATTTGAGGTATTCCAACTGAAAAAATAATCAACCTTCTGGATATAACCTGTTTGAATTCCAGCTCTACGGAACAAAAAGAACTTGCCATGCAACTGCAGAGCCTATCTGCACAATGTGAAGGGTCGCCCGTTCCCTTAGTCTTAGATTCTGGCTTGGTCATGCCCCCCGCCAATTTGACTGACATTCCAGTTTGCGCGTCCTTCGCCCTTAAGGACTTACAGCCCCACTTGAGGCCGAGACGTATAGAATGCGTCAAACAGGAAACGGGGCCCTTTCTTTTTACGCCTATACATTTTGGTGGAGGTAGCTTGGACAGGAGGTCCAAAAAAGCCAATGCAAAAATGGGTAATGATGGTTTTTGTTCTCTGAACTAAAATTCAGAAGGAACTGTTTAATGAAGTAGACTGTGATTTTTCACAGTGCCTTGACAGGCACGTGTTTCGCTATACTAGCATCTTCAGGAAAATAGTGAAACCAATTGGCAAGAACACTAACACATCAAATATATTTATAACCTCATGATTATTTACACCAAAAAAATGATCCACCAAATTTGGACCATTTATTGGTTTTACTTAAGTACTTTACTGATTAAAATTAAACTCAATGATGACATGGCACTTTTTTATGATCTCAGATTCACGGGCATTCATCTATTTAACAAGAATAAATTTCGGAAGAAATTGAAAAAATCTTTGATATTTTCTCATCTTGATAGAAGTCATCATGATATTCTTAAAGAAATCAGTGTTCTCGTCTAACAAGCTCCTATCAGTCCAGATCTATACAAGGTAATTTATCAGGAATGATTGAATCACAGAATAAGTTGTAAAATGTGGCAAATGTGACAAAAAACACATGTAGGTCAAACTAGAAAACCCATTGAAACTAGGTTCAAGGATCATCTATCGTATTTAAAGCAAACTATTGCCATATGATTCAACTCTACTCGTCAAGATGTTTTCCACTATCCTCGCTAGTAATATGCCATTGAATATGACCTTGCTATTTTTTTCCCCAGACTTCTTGTGGGTGAAAAATGAGGTATGCAAGGTCCAACTCAAACTGACCAACCCGCTACCGGTCGTAGCATATTTAAAGCAGTACATTGTCATAGGATTTAACTTTACTCGCCAAGATGTCTGTGATATGCTCTGATATTTTCCCCCAGACTTCTTGTGGGTGAAAAATGAGGTATGCGAGGTCCAACTCAAACTGACCAACCCGCTACCGTTCGAACTGAAGGTGTCTAACATGCGACTCCTAACTGCCGGCGTGGTATTCGAATCGGTGCCGGAAACGATCGTTTTGCCCCCGGATATCCCCACGTCCTTGACCCTGAGCGGTTGGGCGAGGGAAAACGGAGAGCTGGAGCTGTCTGGATACAGCACCCATGCCCTGGGGGTCAAATCGAACTGCAGGTTGCGACACATGCGATCGCCTGCTACTTTTCCGCCCCACTACAAGGTGGAGGTTGTGCCGAGTTTGCCGCTATTAGAGGTGAGTATTCGAATTTGTTTGGTTGAAGTTTGTCAGTAGGTACAATTTTGTCTGCTCACTAACCCCAAATTTGTCTGCCTTGTCATGGGTTGCGTGCAAGAACTGTAAGATGACCGACCCTGGATGTGAAACATTGAAACACAACCTCACTTTTCTTATTTGTTTACAAGTGATTGAAATTGATTTTCACAATTATTTTGTCATACGAATCGTGTTTTTTGGCTGTTCATTAAATCGCGCATGCCATCACATTGTGCTGTTGAACAATGCACAAAAAATGCAGCGGGAGACGAAGGAATCCGGTTGGTACATTATGATTTGAAAGTAAGTACCTACTGTAGTCACTCACATATAGTTTTTATTTTTGAAATTTGGCAATGTCTCTGATTTCTCATCGGAATTTCTTCTGCAATAGGAACTAATAGAAATACTCGTGAAATTTCTGAAATAATGCAGGAAGATTGGATTCATGTAATAAAAACGGGAAGACTGGTCTGACATGCTGACGAAATATGATCATGTGTGTTGTAGACATTTTCAATCTTTTAGCAGTATTAGCTTCTATTGCAGAAGTGGCAGAAGGCATTTTGATGAGAAATGAAAAAATTTCATAATAAAAACTATGTGAGACTGGAAACTGTCACTATTTGTCAATGACGCCGTTTTAGGTTGAAGTTGTCTTCTATTTTCTTTTGAATTGAATATAATATCAAAGGAGAAGTAATAAAAGAGACGTTCTTTAATCGACAGAAATACGACGTGTTTTATTATTATTTTTTTATTTTCATTACATGAATGCATTTGTTGACTGAAAATCAATAAGTTTTACGATGAATAGGCCCTTTACAATACCAAAATATTAAACTTATAGGCCAATTCGTCAAGATTCTAATCGTTTAGGCCGTTCAGGGCAATAGCACGAACTTTTCGAGGTCGTAACGTTGCGTCAAATTTGATGTACCAAACCTTATTAAAGTAGGATTGACTGCATCTATTTACATTGAACTTGTGGAGACGACTTCGAGTTTTCTTTCTTGATGAATAAAAATTGTTTCAATTTCCAGGTGAGTACCTCACTTCCTAGAAGCGCCACCTTCTCAAATTTCCATGACGACAGTACCGTCACATCAGCTAGCACTGCCTTGTATCACGGCGAAAGCACCCAGTGCACCGTGACGCTGAAGAACGTGGGACAGGTGCCCATTGAATTCTTCGAAGTGGAGATGAACAGCGTGCTGGACCCCGCGCTCCAAGAGCAAATTTTCAGCTGGGACAAAGAGGAGGTGGAAAATCTCTTACCTATCGCGCCTGGCCACGAGGGATCTCTTGTTCTGCGTTTGCATTCCAGTGCTAATTTTTTGGCACCGAACGTTGCCGTTTCGCCTACTATTCCTCAGGATGTTAGCAGCGGGTTGTTCAGCAGCATGTCTGCTTCTATCCCAGGTAGGCTTGAAAAAATTGTAATTCTTGTGAAATTGGAGGCAGACTTTCATAGCACGAAGTGTATCATATATTCATCAACAAAGATAGCTTGTTGCTGAAATTGAAAATCGACGTGTAGGAACATGTTTCCCCAATGGCCATATCAAACTTCTAATGAATTTGTTGCAACCTTAAAGAGCTTACTGTATATGCATATGTTCATAACCCTACATTACCCACTAGATGTAATGTTCATGACCTGCAACAAATGTATTTTCTGTAGATAACGTTGTTTAAAACTAATTAATAGACCAGGAGCCCACAATGTGTTTTTTGTGTCTCATTTCACACTCAGCAGTATGAAAACCCCCTAAATTCCACTTCCTACTTGGAGTCAGGAGTGAAGCCGGGGAAAAATCACATGTTACCTACTCCCTTGTCTTATTTGCAGGTGGCGTGACTCTCTACCTTCTAGGATAAACTCCAGCTTCCGCTCGTCGAACTCTGGCAGGCGGTCTTACCACGACTTTGACAGCTGACATGACCCTCATCCTCACTAGTGCCATCTGCTTCGAGCTTTCCAAGTTACCTGACATATTTGTAGTCAAGAAAGTCAAAGAAAATTCACCTGTAACTATATTCATAATATTTTCAGGAGGCTCTCCACCTTCCAGGATAAACTCCAGCTTCCGCTCGTCGAACTCCGGTCAATCGAGCCTGGCAGGCGGTCTTACCACGACTTTGACAGCTGACATGACTCTCATCCTTACTAGTGCCATATGCTTTGAGCTTTCCAGGTTACCTGACATTAAAAATGTTTATTTGTCGTCAGGAAAGTCGAAGTAAATTCACCTTATCTTCATCATATTTCAGGTGGTTCTCTACCTTCCAGGATGAACTCCAGTTTCCGCTCGTCGAACCACGAATTTGACAGCTGACATGACTCTCATCCTCCAAGTTACCTGACATTAAAAATGTTTATTTGTAGTCAGGAAAGTTGAAGTGAATTCACCTTATCTTCATCATATTTTCAGGTGGCTCTCTACCTTCCAGGATGAACTTCAGTTTCCGCTCGTCGAACCACGAATTTGACAGCTGACATGACTCTCATCCTCCAGGTTACCTGACATTAAAAATGTTTATTTGTAGTCAGGAAAGTCGAAGTAAATTCACCTCATCTTCATCATATTTTCAGGTGGCTCTCTACCTTCCAGGATAAACTTCAGTTTCCGCTCGTCGAACCACGACTTTCCAGGTTACCTGACATTAAGAATGTTTATTTGTAGTCAGGAAAGTCGAAGTAAATTCACCTTATCTTCATCATATTTTCAGGTGGCTCCTTCCAGGATGAACTCCAGTTTCCGCTCGTCGAACCACGACTTTCCAGGTTACCTGACATTAAAAATGTTTATTTGTAGTCAGGAAAGTCGAAGTAAATTCACCTTATCTTCATCATATTTTCAGGTGGCTCTCTACCTTCCAGGATAAACTCCAGCTTCCGCTCGTCAAACTCCGGTCAATCGAGCCTGGCGGGCGGCCTCGCAGCGCTGTTCCATCAGCACCCCGGCACGTCCGTGGTCGAGGGGCAGCTGAAGCTGCGGTACAGCGGGGCGGACGGCATCGCGGCTGATTATTGCCGGTCGTGTTCCGTATTCTTCATGCTGGAGATGTTGCCGTCTTTGCACGTCACCAATTGGGATGTCTTGCCGGCTGAAGTGTAAGTGATCTTAAGTGTAATCCTTATGTACGCTAACAAGATGAACCAACCTTATGAGAGCAATGAAGCCAGAAATCATATTCATTAGAGGGTGACACTGTGAACTACTTTTTGTTGATATTTTTTGATGTTTTTATGCAAGAAGGAATGTCGTACCAGGGCCGGATATACATAGTTTTTTTGAAAGCCATCAGATCATCAGAGTTAGTGATTTTGCACTTGCAGATAGATGGACTCGAGCAGATTCCAGGAGTATAGACAATCGGCCATAGTATGCTGAGTTTTTCTAGCGTTGCCGAGAACTAAGTCCAAATGTTGCTTCAACATTTTACATGTAGGTGGACCATCTTGTTAGTGTGAAACTAGTGATGACTTTCAGCCAATTCGACCAAGAGCCAATTTCCCATGGTTTGTGCGGGGTCCTTTTTGTAAATCATTGATTATAGGTAGAGAGTGGAACACGAGTAAATGAATGAATTCCTGTTGTGTATGAGTTTTCAAGAAAAAATACTACCCGATTTGTTTTAATATACGTTTTATATGAACCTGAAGGGACTGGATTTTTATAGAAATTCGCAATTCTACCTTGTGCTGGACATCGCCAATCTTACCAACCAAGAGATGGAGCTGCAGTACACCCCCTCCAAGACGATGCTCATCGAAGGTCAAGAAAGCTGCCGCGTCCCCATCCCTGTGGACAGGTATATACATGATCATAACATAATTCTTAATTAGCGCAAAGGTCACTCATGAAACCAAAATAACAAAAATAGAAAATATTTATATTTTTTCTGATCCTGTTCTCAACGGTACGACTATATCAAACTATACAGGGTGTCATAACTATTGGGACATAGGCTAAGGGCGGATTGTTTTTGGACCAAAATATGGCGATAGGACCAAATATGCCTCAAAAAAATACCGCTGTGGAAAAAGATACAGGACGTTTCAATCGAAAAAGTATTGACTATAAACTCGCACCATAATTCATTCACAGTCTGAACAAAGCACACTCTTCATAAATTATAAATAGTATTTGAAATCCCCTTCCGAGAATTAGAACTGTTCAATTGCATTTTTCTCGAAAACGGATGGAAATATCGTTTTTGAACAAGAATACCATCACTAAAAAGTTTCGCCAAAATAAATTATCCGTCGATTTCATCATCTAGAATCATTCACGTAGAATCATACATAAAACAATATTCCCTGTATACAATTATGCCTTTGTGCTGATTTTGATAACAATTGATAGATATAAAGTGAAATTATTAGCAAAAAACGAAAAAAAAAATACTCAAGTTCAACGCCCTATATCTTTATCCACTGCAATATTTTTTATTTTTCTTTATGCGTATTCAGTCCTATCGCTATATTTTGGTCTAAACAATCCGCCCTTAGTCTATGTCCCAATAGTTATGACACTCTATATATTTCAATAAAACCTTTAACGTGAAAATTTACCTTTTTCCTCTTATTTTCAGTTCCTAGGTGAAGTTCATTGTGTAACGGGTGATAGATTTCGGTTTTAACAACCACAGAGACACTCACACTGTATGTAATGTTTTTATTCATGGCACTCAAGTATTTGAAATATTCTTCCTCCAATGGTCCAGAGTGTAAAGTGGTCCTTTACCTGAAAATATCAAAAAGAGAACAAAACACAAATTCCTCTTATTGTGAAGTGTTATCTGTAGTAATATTCTTTCAATCTGAACTAACTGAAATATTTCCCTAGAACTGAACTGAATCGTTCTTTCTAATGACGTTCATTATGTACAATGCTTGTCAACTGATTCAGTTCACTTCAAGTAAGGAAATGTGTCAGTTTGTTCAGAATGAAAGAGGCTATATTCCGAATTCAACTGGTCGATCAGTACTGTCAGTAGATCCACTGACTCTGCTGAAAAGCTGTATTCCGAAATATAAAATAAAAAACACAGTGCTGTAATTCGGAACACGTTTTCATTAGTAATCAGCAGCAGTTGATCAGCTGGTGAAATTTGTCAGTTGTCATTGATCTGGCAGATGCTCCTGCTTGAGATAAATAAATAACAGACATTTTCTGATATCAAAATTATATTATGTATTATTGATAAGCCAAGACTTAATGTTTGAAAAACAACGGAAATGAATGTGTCATTCCTTTCCCCTAAAAAATAATGACAGTTCACTGAAGCCACACTACCTTTTGATAGTCAGCAATTTCAGCAGAATGTTGAGTCGAAATATTTGGAATGAGGCTATATTCCGAATTCAACTGACAGTACTGAATCTGATGATTTTTCATTCCAAAATCAAAAAAATCACTGAAAGTGACAGATACTTTTGAGCAGACATACTATTCATTCCAAATATTTCGACTCAACATTCTGCTGAAATTGCTGAGTATCAGAAGGTAGTGTGGCTTCAGTGACCTGTCATTATTTAAGAGAGGGAACGAATGTAACATTCATTTCCGTTGTTATTATTCTCAATATCAGAAAATACCTGTTATTGAAATAATAAGCGCTCAGAATAATATTGAGTATGAAGTAGTAGAGGTAACAAAAGAAGAAGCAGCATTGGCTGAAAAAATTACTAAATAAACCTAAAGTGTCTCCTAAATTCTTCATCATAACGTTTTCTATAAATCTTCCAATTCTCAATCTGGTGCATCATGAGAAATTAATGGCAACAAAATGTCCAAGTATTCTTTATCACTCGAGCCTGAATCGTCATCGTCAATAATCGTAGAAACTATGGAGGCTACCAGAATCGATTGCTCTTTCATGTTAAATATTAAATATTAAATATCTAGTCCAGATAAACGAGAAACTACAGAATGACAAATTTCACCAGATGATCAACTGCTGCTGACTACTGATGAAAACCATCAAGAAAAAGTGTCCCGAATTACAGCACTGTATTTTTGATTTTATATTTCGGAACACAGATTTTCAGCAGATTCAGTGGATCTACTGACAGTACTGACCAGTTGAATTCGGAATATAGCCTGAATAGTATATCTGCCCACGAGTATCTGTCACTTTCAGTCAATTTTTTTTATTTCGGAATGAAAATTCAGCAGATTCAGTACTGTCAGTTGAATTCGGAATATAGCCAGAATATCACTTGTAGGTGTCCCCTGTCCAAACTCTGCGACCTCTACCACGAACTCGATGACAACACGAAAAACGACGTGGACATCAATAAAATATGTTCGGGGCACATAACCCAACTGGTGGATTTGAGGTGGCATCTGCTGGGTACCGGCTCCAGGGGAGTGGCACCCTTGAATGGTATCACTTTGACGTCGAGGATGCTCGACATTGTTCGAATGTCGCCCCTGGATTGGGGTGAGTATTTAGATAATTCGCGGGAATCAATGTTACCAGGTGGCGCTCGGTTATCATCCTTTCATGTCAAAGCCACGTCAAAACTGGGGGAAAACAAACTCAATCCTCACTCAATCCCATTAGTGCCATTAGCTTGTGTACTGTGTACTGATAAGACTGATAAGAGTGATGTTTTTAAATTTCTTCACATTGTCAATATTCGATCGAAAACGCTAATAATGCCTGTTGTAGATGTTCTTTTGGCAGATGTTTTGCTCTATTTAGATGGAAAAAGCCGACCAGTAGTGAAAGGAGAAGCAGTTCTCCGTGCTAATCATGTGATTTTGTGTGAGGCAGAAGACTTCAACAAAAGGCACATTTTTGCACTTTGTTTACAAACTTTGGCGATGAAATCTTCCACACATGAAGTTAAATTGAAGTTGGGGTCCAGATGAACTCCTGTAGAACAATGGATTTGTATTTGTTCATGCAAAGCAGGACAATCTGGGTATTGTAAACATGTTGTAGCTGTTCTTTTATATGTCAATTGATTTGCTCGTCATAATTAGTTTGAATTGTTTGAACTATCTCCAATTCTTCACCCGTTCACTATTCACTAAACTAATAAAAATGTAATAATGTAAAAAAATTAACCAACTCAACCATCATCACTACCAACAGTGCCAACACTTTATGTCATTGACAAGTTTGACTACAGCTACAGCAAGCTGAATGCAATGTAGTCTATGCACTTACTCTATAGACAACAGTTTGTTTTCCCCCAGTTTGAAGTTCGTATTATGTAACCTAGATGTCGCCCACTTCGTGAATCTCGCGAATAACCAAAAATATTGTGTTCGATTTTTTCGTTTTAAATCAGGAGGGGTGGAAGAACTCACAGTCACAACTCCACCACATAAACAATTTAATAATGACCAAAGGTCATGGACAAAAGGACATTTTTTGGTGGATCAATCTTTCATCATCAGCAACTTTATAAAAAGAAGAACATCTGTAAGAAGAAACAACGCTTATGTTAGTTTTCAAGTATTGTAAAAACTTCACAAACGATGTGAATTCCAAGATTGGATTGAGATTTTTTACACAAACAGGGAGTGCATTGTAGAGATTCACATCCAGAGAATTTTTGCTAGATTTATGCCATCTGATTGGCCTGATCAATGGGCGTGTACACCTTAGTAGAACTTTTAACTCAAACCATGTTTATAATGATCCTTTTATACATAAATAATGATTGACGACAAAATTCGATCGAAAAATTAACTCAAATGTTTTATTTTTGGACATAAATAATAGTACCTTCTGAAAACGGACCCTCTAATGACGTAGAAACCTCATCTCGCCATAGTTAAAAGAAAATACCAAACGCCCGACGGAAACTGGGGCAACTGATATATTAATTCTTTCAACTATGATCTCGCGCTAATTCACTCTGTCAGAAATCACGTATCATTCATCTCTGTCTGGAATAGTCTTGTTTCAGTATTAGGGTTTTGACGTCACATCATCACCTCGTTTTCAGAGGTCCGAAAAATCGGGGATTTCAATAATTTTTTATAAAAAGTAGGGAGCTCACAGCAAGAAACGGTTTGCGGTGGTGAGCTAGTTTGGGTGAGTTCTATGGAATCATGAAATACATTTTTCTTGTGATATAAGCCCATTGACAGCTCCTGGTGGGATAATCGTGAAAGTCAGAATTTTTTCCGTAATCTTCTTTATTTTTATGAATATCCAACAAAAGTAGGCATACTTATGTAAATAGATGGTAGCGTCATGATTTTTAAGGATTTAAAGAATGGTTAACATGAATCAGCGTAGCCCGCAACAGCGATAATTCCTATTGCTTTCTTTTGAAGAATAAATGTTTCAATGGCTTTTGTGCTATTGCCTCATAAAATTATTCCATATGAAATTTGGGAGTGGAAGAATGCATAATATGCTGATAACAGTGCCTGAACGCCAATGATATTCTTCAGTTTTCGGAGAAGGAATATTATATTTGTAGATTTTATTACTAAGCTGACAAAAAAAAATCTCCAATTATTGGTGCATTGAGAAGATGTCCCAAACTTGATATTAAAATTGCAAACATGATTCTCTACTCTCATATACTGAGTCGTATCAACTATTTAATAAATGTTTGGGGATCTTGTTCAAAAAATAATTTCAATAAAATATCAACATTATATAGAAAATCGTTAAAGGTATTGTATCGTCTCCCATTCGATACACCAACCAATCAATTGTATGAAATAACAAATACGTATTCTTTAGATGAAATATATAGAATTGAAACTCTTAAAATATCATATAATATCATAAATAAAAAATTGAAGTCGAATATTATTCTGATACGGAATTCTGAAATTCATAATCATGAAACTAGACAATATAACTTGTTTCATCTTGACGCCGCTAGCTCCCTAATCGGACAAAAAAGATTCACTCATTCAGCCTTAACTGAATTCAATAATCTACCTGATAATATAAAAAATTGCAGAAATATAGGTATATTCAAAAATGAAGTAAAAAAACTGATTATTTCTGAGCGGACTGGATAAAAGTAATCATGCCATTTTTTTTTTACAAATATTATTCTTTGTTTGCCAATTTACAGTTGTTGATATATTTGTAATGATGCTATGTTTACCTATAGGTATATAATTATGTACTTCCTTATACCAGAGCCTATTCTGTCTGGAAGTTATTTGTTCAATAAATAAATAAGTAAATAAATAAATAAAATGCTTGTTCCGTTGAAAAAAGCTGCTCTATATGAACTGACCAGTTCAGTGTGTCATCTAGAAAAATGCCCAACAATTTGACTGAGTTCTTGTTGGAGGCAATTGGAGAAAAATAGGCATACAAATAACTATTTTCGTACACCAAAGAGCTCTCTATTTCTACAGTTCTAGAAATAATTTAGAATATTGAAATTGGTGCCAGGAATGATTATTTTCCATACCATTAAATTTTTTTAGAGGTTTCTTTGAATGGCGACATGGTCAGAACACAAGAAGAAGTCTCTTGTGAAGCAGGAGATTGTCTGGAGCTCAAGATGTCGATCGTGAACAGTCTAGAAAAAACGCTGCGCCAGCTGACGTTGTCGGTTCAGTTTTACCAAGATTACGAGAACGGTTCTTTGAATTATAGGATGGACACAAGATTGGCGGTAGCTGGTAGTACCAAGTAAGATTCATGAAGAGTGCGAATGTGAAATGGAATTCACCCAAAATATTTTTTAGGAAGATTTTGTCCGTCCTGGAACCACATAGTAAGGCCAATCACGAGTGTAATGTAATTTTCTTCACACCCGGTCAGTATAAAATGGACATACAGTGTTGTGCCCCAGATAGTCAGTCAGTAGCTCGAGTGAATCCTCTGCTCTCTACTGGACATACTTGGAGGTTTACTCCTACAATTTTAATACAAGTCAACTGAGCTTACTGAAATTATTTCAAAATATTAATGTGAATTTGCGGCTGAATTTAATTATTAGCCGATTTATCAACTTTTCATTATTTATTCAGTTTTATACTAATCACAACCAGGTACAAAAAAGATAGTTACAAAATATTTTCAACGGCTGAACAGAATTTTGTCCACAATCGTCAAAAAATGACAAGGTTCGGGCATCGATAACAATATGCAAAGTGACAGTTTTTTACATTGTACTACATCACCATGATATTGGGCGCCAAACAGTGTGCAAAGTAAAATAGTACTTGAAATACATACTTCGCGCACTGCATGTAAAATTTTATGGGATTTTTTTATTTTAACCTTCATATGGTCCTAAATCAAGCAAAAATCCAAGAAATCACTAATTATTAAACGTTTAAAAATAATTGAGACTTTTAAAGACAGTTCAACACAATTTTTTATATTTAGCTTAGCATTTTACTTATTTCAGAAACATGTTTTTTGACGTCCGTAGAAAAAGTTTTGTATGCAACTCATGCGTGTGAAATACTCTCGTGATTGATCACCAAAGTGAAATACTTTCGTGATTGATCATCATAATAGCATTTCAGGCACTAGATACATAAATAACAATTTCTCAATGGTATTTTTTGCCGAAAGTGGAAGATTTCTCAGTAGTAAAAGTCCATTCTCATCACTATAGTGAACCGTTAATTTCAATAAGTCACTTTCGTATTAGCAGGTATTAGGTATTATTTTGTATTGATGATAAGATCAGCAGATCTTTTGTTAGGTTAGATTTGTACAAAAGATAAATGTATCACCTATAACTTGATAGTGCTCTCTTTTAGTAGTTTTCAGGTGACTTACATTTTGTGATACTTATAACTTGTACAGTGAAATGCAATAAAAGATGTATTTGTGAAATGATCAAATTAAAGTGGCATTTATTGAGCAAATATTTTTCAAATTTCAAGGAATTTTATCAGTCAAATCTATTCTAAAAACCAAAGTGGCCTGATTTTAACACTACAATTTTATATATGGAGAAAACGATTTTGCCAGAACAAAAGAATCAGTAGCGGCGTTAGGGTAGGGCGCGGTTGGGCGACCGCCCAGGGCGCCGGATGAAAAGGTGCGCCGCAAAAACCTCTATAAATTCCTCAAATTTTTCAAATCAACGTCATTAGCGCATCTCACAATCAACAGATATAGATCTCAGTAAATGCACAGAAATGTTGAAAGAATGCTGCACTTTCTCGTAAGAATATAGAAATACTAACTCTGAAATCGCTATTTTAACTGCAGAGGAATTGGCTGAAGAACTAGAAATTGAACCTAAGCTTGGACCTAATCTTAGTGCCACATGGATAATTCAATATGTTGAGCGTCAAGCTGGTGAAACTGCCCGCCACGTGCCAATAGCTTCTACAGAAAAAAATCAGGTTTAATTTTTCATTCATTTCAGAATGATGAAAGTAAGATATGGTGCGCGTATTCGGCCATTATTACGTATTGAAAATTTCAGAAAAATCACTCGACCGCCTACTATGATTTCTCTACGTCACAACGAGCGAGACGTTGATTCTACATTTTCCTGCTAGATGGTGATGGTGCTATTGCTGCTGTGGCGAGTGGAAATAAAATAGCAAATGGAATTATTCAACTGTAAATTCGAAAACTCTGCGACAATTTCAAAACTGACAGATTTCACAATTGTGCAATGTCGCCATCGCCATCTATTAGAAGATCGACGGAACCGCAATGCTCTCGCTGTTCTCGAGAGGCCGAGTCAAATTTCTGAAACAAAAGCGCATCAGTAATTACACCATATCTTAATTTCATCATTCATTTCAGTTAATGAAATATTTGAAGTTAAATGAGTACTACAAATCTTGGTACTTTTGTACAATATAAAACAAATTTCGAAACAACTCGACCTTTGACAAGGTATATGTGATGGTGTGATAAACTCACCTGATCAGAATTTGGTTACCCTTGCATATGTTTTGAATTTTATGAAAGATCGCAACTAAAAAGAACTTTGTCAAAATGTATGATTAGCATTGCGAATATTATTGACTTTATATACCTGTAATGGTTGCTAGTTTTCAGTTTTCTTGAGCCTAATGTGATAAAAACCTATCTGCGATCGACAATATCTCAATCTAGATTGACAAACTTGACTACTTTGTCAATTGAAAATAAAATTGCTGAAAATATTGACTTTGTTGATCTAATGAAAGAGTTTGCCAATACAAAGGCTAGAAAAGTGAAATATATTAGTTTTTAGGGGGCGCCGTAGAATTCTTGCCCAGGGCGCTGCGGTAGTGCTAAAACCGGCACTGAAAAGAATATTCCATTAGAATTAACTGGATTGTGGCATATTTTGATAATAAATATGAGAGTGCATAATATCATCAGTATTTGGGGTTAATTGAAAATGACAGGTATACCAAAATTGTTCAGTTAGATTGTATATAAACCTGTAGTAAATGTATAATTGAAAATTGTCAATGGAGTTAAAACGTATATTGGTAATATTCAGTATATGAACAATTGAATCATCTGACATTAAACAGTTGGATGCAGGGCCGGACTGAAGGTACAAAACGGGCCGGGCCAATTTACCTGTCAAAGAGTGTGCGTTGCAAGCTTTTTTTTGTAAAATTTCAAGTTCGACTGCCCAATGTATGCAATGTTAGAATATTCACCACCGAAAATATCGAGACTTCGTCCAGTAGTTGAATGATAGATGAAATAGAATACACTTCTTTGATACCAAGAACAATAAACAAAATATAATAAAACTTTGCTTTGTTCCATAGGGGGGGAGGGGGTTATTCATTCCATACAGGGGTAACAGAAAGCAAAAAAGCGCCGCAGGCGAAATATTTTGTTGTTCCAGGTCGAATATGCCTTCAAATTGATAGTTAGGTTTGCCAGAGGGGTATCATTAGGGTGGGTGAAAATGATTTCAAATTCACCTGAACATTTAAATTTCCTTATAGCAACAAAATCGAATTTTAACGTCAAGTTTACGTCGACCTAAAAAATGCTTGAGTGTTATTCGGTAAGACAATTAAATGAATACGTAAATCACATTATTGTTGATGGTTTTTCGAATTTCTCCACTGGAAGACTCTCCAAATCGCGACATTTCCACAGATTAGATACTTCTCTGACCAGGCAAGTTTGGGAAAAATGACATAAACACCATGAAAGATTTGTTTACAGTTTTGGTTGTCATGCATTCAAATGTTAAATTTTCGTTCCATAATGACAAAATCACAGCGGCTCACGGGATGTTATGTACATAAATTAAATTGTCACAATAAACAAATACGCCTACATTTCGCCCTTGATCCATAAATAACTATTTCAGAAGATATTTTAATATGAAAGCCTCCACGTGATCTTGGGGCAGACAGTTTTTTTTTATCACTTGGGTAGTATAAACATGCGTTTGTATGAAATTTAAAATTTCTACCAAATATCGGGTATAAAATAAAGGTCCAACAGGCAGGCCCATTTCAGCGGGCCAAAAATGAGCCAGGCCATCGGGCGATCGCCCGACGGACCAGTCCGGCCCTGGTTAGATGGATTTGGAAATGAAGATATATTTACTTGAAATAGAAAAGGTGGTAACAGAAAAGGGTTATGACGTCAGTACTGGCTAGAGCTAGGAGTATGTCTTATGAAATGGATCATGTTATGTTACTACTACTTCTAGATTGAAATCACACCTTGGTGAATAAATAATATAATTGCCCAGACTTGATATTGGAATTAACAAATTTCATCAATAAATTATTGTTCATGCTCCAGTTGATGTTGAAAACATTCACATTTTTACCAGTTTGTATAAGGGGTGTTCACGATCTCTTGTTTACCCCCTGATTCTTGAATCTTCAAATGTATTGCTTTTCTTAATTTCAGAATGAGAAAGTTTATTTTTGTTGCCTTGTGGCAATCTGTTGATAGTATAATAAAATTCAGGACATATCTCACTTGCAATATGCCTTATATTCTAATTCAACAGGCACAAATATAATAAAACTAATAAAGGAAATGGTCATTGTCATTAAGAAAAAAGCTGCACTCTGGTACGTGGTTTCCAGTCTTATAATTGCAAGTAATAATGTATTTTCATTTTCTTTCATTTGTACAAAAAAAAACAGTAATAAAACATCTTAATAAAAATAATTACATAAATAAAAATAGGCAACACTGAAATTCAAACTTTGAAGCACATTTGGAAGGTAGGAGGTTTTTCAGGAATGTTCATAATATCCAAATCATCACTTTCAAACCACTTAATTTCTTCAGGGCTCAAATCTTCTAGTTTGGAATACAACTTCTCATCATGTACAGCAGATACATGTGTTGCCATATTGTTCGCCGGGGCTCCCCCGAAAATATTAGCACTATGCACTTGTGCCCCTAAGTTGCCATGACCAAATGCAGAATCAGAATTGACAGGAGTACTAAATGCAACAGGGGTGTGTTGCCCAAAAACAGAAGTATTTGGAGCAGGACTTTGGCTAACAGGAGATGCAAAAATATTACTGGCAGGTTGATGACTCATTTGACCAGGTTGTGGGCCACCAAAAATACCAGGTGTTACTTGCAAAGGATCCTGAGTAGCAGGGGTTCCAAAAAGATTGGTATTATGTGATGTAGGTTGCCCAAACATTTGTTGGGTGTTCTGATTACCAAAAACATTCTGAGATGCATTTTGAGAGGAAGACTGTGGAGTGAGTGCTGAATTATTACTTCCGAAGATTGAACCTGTGATTGGTGTAGCATTAGCATTATTACCACCTCCAAAAATAGAACCAGGGTTTTGTTGGCCCCCAAAAATACTGCTCTGTTGTGCAAAGTTTGTATTGCTCTGCCCAAAAATGCTATTACTAGTGCTTGGCAATGTTGGAGAGCCCTGGGGAGCTGCAAAGGGACTATTAGTAGGAATTTGCCCACCAAATCCAGTATTCTGATTATTTCCTCCAAAAATATTGGTTCCCATAGACCCAAATGTATTCTGTGGAGCCTGCTGTTGTGGTTGAACATTAGCAAACAATTTTTGATTTCCTTGTGCAAATATCCCAAAATTGGTAGGCTGCTGGTTCAATGATGAAGTGTTAGGGCTGCTGAATATGTTACCTGAAAACACTCCTGACTGAGATGATGGAGGGGTGTTGTAAATTTTCTTCAGCATTTCTACTATATCTGGTGATGGATTTTGAAGAGTTTTCACTCTTGACATGATTTGCTGGATCATAGTTTGAATTTGCTGTTTCTGAAAACAAAAAGGTTGGCTCAATATGAACTATTATTATTACTTTGATAATCATACATATTGATCTATGGTTCCATTTTTTGCTGCTTCATAATACCCCAACCTTAATTCCTCAAAACTTTGATCTTCAAAGCCAGGAAAGGCAGGTTTTTCTTTAAAAGGGGCATAACAAGAAAGCATCCACTGACCACCTTTTTCAAGCATAGTCATATCATTTGCTACTGCCTTGATCAAAGTGCTGGTATCAACATTAGATGATGATGGTTCTGCTGAGTTAGGTAATTTTGGAGATTGTGCTGAGGCATAATTTGCTTGGTGCAATATTGATGTTCCTGTTTGGTTTTGGTATCCATTAAAATTATCTGAAAATTTATTATGGAATGATACAAAAATAGTACAAAGTGCACATTCACCTAAGGAAAGACTTACCATTTATTTGATGTTCAAATTTGCAGTAATCCCCAAACTTGCATGTTCCTTGTAAAAAATATTTACAAACTACCATTTTGTCCTATTGCCACAAATTTTGCTGTCTTCACCAGTGAACTCAATCAATTACTATACAATCTCTGGTATCTGTAAAAAAGTAAAAAAGTATTCAATGCTACACTCTCCTCTCATCATTTAGTGATTTGTAAAATGATTTGTTTCTCACCTTTTTTCAGCAAAAAAAAGTTGTTTTTTTTTCAGATGTACAAGGACTTCTTGAGTTTACATTTGATTAATTTTGTGGTATATTTCATACATCCTTATTTCATATAATTATTAATTTTACTAATGATATTTTACCGAGTATTTTACTCAAAAATTTTAGGTAATTTTGTCATTTGCCATCTGCTTTGTTTTGATTTTAATCAGAAAAACAAGAAACAAGAATGGCAAGATGGCAAGAATCCTAAAAAGAAGAAGAACAAGAGCAACCGTCAAATAAAGGTAAATTCGTTTTGTCCAAACATCCGTGCACGACCAATCACAACGACAGAGATAAGTTACCAGTGACAACGATATTAGCTAATATCGCGGTAACGGGTAAAGTCGAGTTTAAAAAGCGAAACGAAACAATATCGGCACCACAATCACCACATCTCAAGCCAGCTGAACAGACTTTTCAGATTATATTCAGCTGGTAATTCTGTTTAATGATTCCAAGGAGCCGTTAACTGCTGTTGGTGTTGACTGGTGCTTCAGGCTGAATATAATCTGAAAAGTCTAGTCACTGGAAGGTGATAGTAAAATTCTTGGTTATCTCCTCTAATCAATGAACCCAATGTGAACTCGTCTCGTCTGAGAATGCCTCTAATGCCTCAACATGCCTCAACCACATCTCATTTTGATTGGTCTAAAAGTTCTAAGAAGTGTTCTGAGTGATCGTCAACACGGATGTATGGGTAAAACAAATTCGTGTTGATTATCTGGTTCTGGTTGTCACTTGTCACATTATTGTTATTGTCACTCGTCAAGTGCGAAGTAAACATAAAAAACAAAAACCTGAGTTAAGCGAGGCAATTTTCTTCAATCATAATTTCTTCTGGAATCCTGGAAAATTTATTGAAATGTGGAAATATGCTGCTGGTTCTGTAGTCGTTGGAACCGCCTTGTATGGTTTGATGTAAGTAGATAAATTCACAATTGAATTTTGTGGCATTTAATTTTTTTTGTTCTTGGTGCAAAAGTCAGTGAAGATTTGTTCTTAAGAATACAATTGTTTTCTCCTCAGTAAGTACTTTGCTGGAGGTGTCTGCCGTTGTTCTGCTAGACTAGATGGTCAGGTTATTGTGATAACAGGTGCTAATTCTGGAATAGGCAAAGCTTTGGCTCTTGAGCTAGCTAAAAGAGGTACAAAAACAACTCACAAATTTTTTGTTATGTTGCATCATATAATATTATGTTTTCAGGAGCTACACTAGTATTGGCTTGCCGAGATACAAACAAAGGTTTAGATGCCAAGACATACATTCTTAGACAGCTGAAGAACGAAAATATCAAAGTTTTTGTGAAGCATTTAGATTTATGTAGTATATCTAGTATAAGAAAATTTTCTGTGAATTTAATTCACGAATTCAGTGAGATATATGCCTTGGTAAATAATGCAGCTGTCTTTTACCACCCACAACATCTGACAGAAGATGAATATGAAGTAACATTCCAGACAAACTATTTAGGTAAATAATTTCTTCAAGATGATCTCCTTTTTTGAAATCAACTTCTTTCAGGTCATTTCATTCTAACACATCATCTTCAAACATTACTGAAAAATTCTGTGCATGGTAGAATAGTCAATGTTGCATCTGAAGCACACAGAATTGTCAATGTGTATGACTTGAATGCAGTTACAAAGTGTCAAGTGGAATTCAGAGATCATTTCATTGCTTATGGAGTATCCAAACTTGCATTAATTTTGTTTACCAGGGAATTGTCCAAGAGACTGAGAAGTGAGTAAAACTGATAACTATCTAAATATTTGAATTTGTTATTGTTATTTTAGCTTATAGCTATCACAAAGTCTAGTATAAATAATTGGTTGTGATAATGCCCACATTGATATAATTTTTTCATTAATATATTTTCAGATACTAACATCATAGTAAATGCAGTAAACCCTGGAAATGTAGAGACCTCTATCTTCAGAAACTTTCCTGCACTTTGCAACCCTTGGTTGTATGCTTTGCAGTGGCCAATACGTTTGATTATCATCAAGAATCCCCAACAAGGAGCTCAGACTCTCCTACATGCTCTCCTAACAACCAACAGATCTACAGGACAATACTACAGTGACTGTAAACTAGCATTGCCCAGCCCCATAGCAGCTAATGATAAGATAGCCTCAGAATACTACCAGCTGACCTTGGAAATCCTTGCTGACAAATTCAACACAGAATCAGATTGCTAAGTAGAAATGTCCAAGTGGGTCTCACCTGATGGCAAAATTCAAAAGGAGGTTATGCAGCCTGGGGACTGGGGTGATAAACCAACTGAGGGCAGCCAGTGTACCATAACTATTACCAATAGTCCACTGCTGGAAGAATTCACCCAAGCAGTGGTTACAATTGGTGATAGTAATGGAGATTTATGGAGATCTCTGGATATTTGCTTGTGTACCATGCATGCTGGAGAAACATCAAAATTCACTTTGAACTCCCAGGACAGCAGCATATCTTTAGTTATAAAACTGGTAGGTCTAGTATTCAATGGCTTCATTTTTGAATGGGACCCTGCTAAAAAGTATGGCCTATCATTGCACCACAAGGAAGAAGGTGTGAAACTGTTTAAAGAAAAACAGACAAGGGAAGCTGCATTCAGGTTCTCCAAAGCTTTGAAAATACTTCATTCCATTCCTGTAGATGTAGAGAATCCTCCTAAAATAATCCATGGTGTATATTTAGCTGATATAAACAACCTCAAAGGGGTTCTGTATAATAACTTAGCTTCCTGTTATTTTAGAAACCAATTTTGGCAGAAAGTCATTGATTTGTGTAACAAAGTTTTCACATATGAAAGTAAGAATGTTAAAGCTTGGTTTAGAATTGGAGTGGCTTATCAAAATGAGAGGGACCTTGAAAAAGCCTTAGAAGCATTCACTAAGGCTCTAGAAATTGAACCTGATAACAAGGTATGTGCAGAGCATTTAAGTTTGGTAAAGGAGGAAATGAGAAATGATGAAATGAAAGTTAACACAATGGTGAAAAAAATGTTCACAGTTTTGTAGATAAAGATTTTTTCAGTGGGAGACTAGAGAAGCCATATTATTGAAAAAATCAATTTGGCTTTCAAATAACCTCAATTTATTTTTGTAAGCTAATTGGAATGTAACTACAATAATTGATTGGTGGCTTAGGATTGGTTACTTATTTAATGAAAAACCTTATAAAAATATTAGTTGTTTTATTACCAAAACCAATTACACATTGTAAAGTATGTAAAACAGAAAAAAATTGAGCTTAACCACCAATTTGTTCTTAAAAAGTTTGTAAATTTCATTTTACAGAACTATGCCTACTAATTTTTTTTCAAACTCCTATTTAATACAGATAAAACTTATATATTTTCCAAGGAGCTAAATTCTTACTCCAAATTCTATCTTACAAGAGTTTACTGAAGAAGCTATTATATCTGTGTGTTAATCTATTCTCTGTAATTACATAAATTCTCATTATTTAGTATCTTATATATGTACTTTATAGTTTTAAAAACTGGACATGACAAATAAACGATGAATTTCTAATTAACTAATGATTAATATGAGGCACTTCGGTGTAAAAATATTGCAATGTTAGTAGTACTTATTGACATTTAGAGAATGATAATTACACAGAATTCATCATAAATTCAATGAAAAAGTTTGAAACATCAATACAGAAAATTACCAAGAAATTATTCAGGGGGTAAGTCATACAAAAAACGAAAGCAGGATTATAGCACATAAGCAATGAAATATCAAAGTGTGAATAGCCATTAAATGGTTCAAAATATTCTGGAAGACAGTAGAATAATGATAGTAGTTTAGTTAGTGATCAGCTAATTTTTTTCAAAGATATGAATAACTTGAAAAATACTACAACCTGAATAAATTGTATTATAATGAGTGCTCCTTTAATGGAGATATGTGCAAAATGATCAACAGTGAAATACATAAAAGATGCATTCTATTATATTCAATTCTGACACAATAAAATTGTATTTTATTGGGTATGTTTCCAGAAAAATATTTCTACTTCTCATTGGAATGAAAGCATCCTTGAAAAACTATTTCACTAGTTCTTCAAGAGTGGGGCAAATAAAATGCATCCAAAACATGATTAATGATGAAAGAAGCATTCAAACTTCCAGATGATACTGTAATATCAGTCAATTAAAGATATATTCCTGGAAGGTTGGGAATTGTTCATTTTCTCTAATATACAGGGTGTTTCAGACTTAAATGTACATACGATACTGGCAGATAGAGGACACTTTGATGGTTTCAAATCACCCCCATTGATATGTTTATCCTCTTTTATAACAGAGATACAGGACGTTATCTTGATTTTGTCAAAATCTTCATCTGGTCATAATTTTTGAACCACGTTGTATAATCTATTCATACTTGGTAGAAATATTTCACTTATGTTACACATCAAAACTAAATAAAAATTGAGATCAGAATCCAGGTCCATCTTAAGGAAAAACAGAAAACTTGTTTATTTCAAAAACAACACTCTGTATGGCAAAATTTTGTGGATCTGTTTTGATATCTGGAAAGAGCAGGAAAAAATTAATGTAGTGACCTACTTATAACAAGGGCACATCCAATTAGACAGATATAATATAGAAATATTCACCCCATTTCGAGGAAATTTTATTGAACTGTTTTTCAAAATCCAATTTTGATACAAAAAAATAATTGTCTTCAAAGTTGATCGTCATTAAAAACAAATTGGGTGAACTATTGATAGATTTACCGCAGCTCATGAATCAATAGTGAAGAATAAAACAAGCCCTCAAAAATTTCCAAAATCACAGACATTCTGTCGAATGAACAGATTTATCTATTTCACCCCAATGATGTTGAACTTCGAAGGACGTTATTATTTTGTGAAATAATTGGATTTTGAATTATGAGTTCAATAAAAATGACTCAAAATAAATAATAATAAAACATCTGTTGAATCGGATGCGCGGTCGTAAAAAGTAGGTCACTTCATTCGTTTTTCCCTGCTCTTTTGAAATATTGAAACAGATCTAAAAAAATTTGCCATACAGAGTGTTGTTTTTGATATAAAAGAAGTTTTCTGTTATTTGCCTCAAGACGGACCTGGATTCTGATCCCGATTTTCATTTAGTTTTGGTGGGTAATATAAGTGAAATATTTCTACCAAGTATAGATAGATTATACAAAGTTGTTCAAAAGCTATGACCAGATGATGATTTTGCCAAAAATCAAGATATCATCCTGTATCTCAGTTATAAAAAACGGTAGACACATCAAAGGGGGGTAATTTGGAACCATCACAGTGTCCCCTATCTACAGGTATCGTATGTACATTTAAATCTGAAACACCCTGTAGAATTTGATTTAGTGTATTTTTATCCAAACTCAAATGCACCCTAAATTGAAAATATTTTATGTCATGTGTAGCAACAATAACTGCTAGAAATAAAATTTATTTTGTTATATAAAATAATAATAATAAATAAAAAAAACTGCACCACTATAATACCAACATTGCCAAGATATCACAATAATATTTAAAAAAAATCGTTACATATATACACACATCTACCTGTACACAACACTGAAAACTAGAGATGGCAAGTGTTAACAATCCAATTTATACAGTATACACAGAGACTTCTATATTTGGCGATATATGTAACAGCATTAGCATTGAGAATTTGTTATTTCTAATTATGTGTATCATCTTAAGGAGCAGACCAGTGTTAATCACGCGTCTTTTTTACCATTTACCGCCAGTTGTGTCGCATTCCTCAATGTCCGTTCAGCTGCTCCGACAGCCATTTGCTGCATACCGTTTTCGACGTAGCCTTGTAGAAGTGTCTTCATGAACTGGAATTGTCATCAAAATAATCAACTGTTGCCGAAAATGTTTATTGAAGCAAAATTTTACTGAGACTGGTAAAACTATGGATTTGTTTATTAATTAACAACCTAATGAAAAATCCTAATTGAAAACATAAAAGTTCCTATGATTTTTGGAGATCACAGTGGCTTGAAATCGTGTTCAGGGTTCTTTAATTCATGTAAGAATCCATTATTTTCATTTATTCTATTCCCGATACCCCTCATATCTCATCATAATCCTACTTAGGGAATTGACATTTTATATGCAATATGATGAAATATTATGCAAGGTAAATCATGAAAATCATCCAAATCTCAAAGTGTCCAAAGTAATTCCAAAAGAAAAACAAGTAGCTCAAAGTCGGTCGACCACACTTTATACAGTGTGTCCCACTTACCATGCTCACCATGGGTATCTTTTTAACGGTGAGAAATACGAGGTCGGTTCAATGACACCAAATGTGGAGTTTGTCAAGTCCAACTATAATGTGAAAAGAATATTTTGATAAAATCTATTCGTTTTTGTTTTATACGCAAAAAACAGATTTTGATCATTTTCATGTCTCCTCCGTAACTTCTTTATTTATGAAAATATTCAAATAGGAATTTCACATTCTTATTGCAGTTTTTCAAAGTGATTTCGAAAAAAATATGAAATTTATACCAACTCTTCTAGAATTTGAGATATCAGCACCAACTTAAGTTTTTCAACCCCCACTTATCAATTTTGAATGGAATCGGACCAAATCTTGTCCGCCATCTTGGAGCAGCCATTTTTTTCAATTTCAACAAAAATTCCATAATGTATTGTCACCGAAATTATGAACACCTGAGAAATTTCAAGTTAATCGGAGTTATGGAATATTTGTTGAAATTAAAAAAAAATGGCTGCTCCAAGATGGCGGACAAGATTTGGTCCGATTCCATTCAAAATTGGTAAGTGGGGGTTTTTGAGGTCGGAGATCATGATTTTTTTGTTGAAATTCATGAATTCAAGATGACGGCTTCCAAATAATTTTTTGTTTTTGTATAAATGACGATAACTCCGTTGTTATCAACACAAAACTATTACTGCAACATATCATCTGTAGGAGAAAAAAAAGTTATTTGTAACTAACTCGTAGTGAGCTATGACCCACATTTGAAAAACTAAAGTTGGTGCTGATATCTCAAATTGTGGAAGAGTTGGTATAAATTTCATTTTTTTTTCGAAATCACTTCGAAAAACTGCTATGAGAATGTGAAATTTCTATTTGAATATTTTCATAAATAAAGAAGTTACGGAGGAGAGATGAAAATGATCAAAATCTGTTTTTTGTGTATAAAACAAAAATGAATAGATATTATCAAAATATTTTTTCACATTATAGTTGGCCTTGACACACTCCACATTTGGTATCATTTAACCGACCTCGTATCTTTTACCGTTAAAAAGATACCCATGGTGAGCATGGTAAGTGGGACACACTGTATATAAAACAATCAAGAACCGGTTTCGGCGCTAAGTAGCATTATGAAAGAACAAACATGACAGGCAATCAAATCGTCAACGAGCTATAAGAGTCAGGCACATGTGGTTCTTTTTAAATTTAGTAAAGAGCCAGTAAATTTACAAAGAACCACATGTGCCTGAGTCTGACAGCTCGTTGACGATTTGATTGCCTGTCATGTTTGTTCTTTCATGATGCTACTCAGCTTTATACTTTGGTACGTTTTTATCTGATGATGGCAGCTGCGCCGAAACCGGTTACATGTAATTTTTGACTGTTTTATATACAGTGTGACACACTTCTAATGGAAACACATCTGTATCTAACGTATTCGTTGGGTAAGGATCCTGAAATTTGCTGGAGAGTGATAAATACCAAAAATGCACTTTATGATCAAGTGGGGTCATCTTCAGTGATATACACTGCTCGCCAACAGCCATGGAATCACCCCAATTTCCGGAAAATAATATTAGGAGTCAGAATAGGTCGAAAATCACTTCAAATTCGGAATCAGGACGTCCAATTCACTATCTATTCATATTTTTCCTGGAAAATTTTCAGTACTGAAAAATTCAATTTTGTCGCACTTTTTACGGAGAACCCCCGCATTTTACGTAATTGACTTTATCTTTGGACTTTCCCTTCCTCCTGCAAATTTCAGAACCCTACCTCAATAATTACGTGAATACGGGGGTTCTTCCATGAGAAGTGAGACAGAATTTGATCTTTCTGAACTGAAAATGTTCTAGGAAAACTATGAATAGTTAGTGAATTGGGCATCCTAATTCCAGATCCCATGGTCACACTGTATAAAGTGTGGTCGACCGACTTTGAGCTACTTGTTTTTCTTTTGAGATTATACAAGGTATCCATTGAGATGGAAATATATTCCTTAACAAAAATAATATGACTGATATTGTTTGAAATTTGAAAATATTTTTTCTTGTAAATCTACTAAAAAAACCCTTCTTTGATCATCAAATTTGAAACTAAACACCGTGTATATTAAACATGGGGTCCAAAATGAAAAATGGCTAAGTCATACTATTTTTCTTCAAATATGATGATGCTTAACCATTGTCGATCTAAATGAAAACCTAGTAAGTAGGCGACCTAGTGCGAGGAGGTATTATAGCTCCTGCCTCTTGACTACCTAACTAGGTTGTCATCTAGAACGACAATGGCTTAACGGATTGACCCCTACTTATATAATTTTTATCATCATATACAGGGTGGTTCAGGTTAAACGACGTCATTAATTTTGGTAGGCGATGGAACAACAGACAAAAATAGACTCTCATGAGAAAACTGTTCAAAAATGCTTCCTAACAAAGATACAGGGTGTCAAAGTTTTGTGCGAAAACTGGTTTTCTCATCATCATAACATGATACATATACATCACAGAGAAATGATTGAAATCAGAAATTCTTTATTGTCGTAGAGGGCATAGAGGGGTGGGCATCTCCTTCTCTCCCTCCCAATCTTCAGTGCCACTGGATATTGCATAAAAATATTATATTTTTGGATTCCTTGTTTGATTTAGAGAATAAAAATACCTGCAAAATTTCGTTATGGCTTGGTTTTTGTGACTTTATTTGAATTTGATGGGTTGCAAGCAGGCCAAAACTTATGAGGGTCTGTACAGGCTGTGAATAGTATGGCTTCATGAAGTACAAGTACAGTACAAGTGTTGATTTTGATAATTCCTAACGTGACCCGTCGAAAACTCGAATCTAGGTGTCAATTGTCAATTACCCCGGTATCTTTATTAGGAAACATTTTTTGATAGTCTCCTCATGAAATTCTATTTTTTCTGTTGTTGTTCTTGAGTCCGACCAGGTTAACTTTGGGGCAGCACGTGGTCACATAAGCATTGAATATGCATCCCAAAGTTACCTTGTCGGAGTTCAGAACACTCATTGCCAAGATTATCTTGTATTTTATTACTATTATTATTATCCAGTTACTTGAGAAACAAACTTTGTTCGAATTCTTTCACAGAAAAATTCCGGAGTTTCTTTAGATTCCATAGTATGAACACTAATTAACGGCAAAAGAAACTACAAATAAAAGCAAGTGATGAAAGCTATCCATGCATGTGATAATCTTTATTGTACAAGACAATCCAGATAAACTAGACAAAAAAGAGTCATAAAAATAAAATCCCATATAGGAAAGCAATCATGAATCTGGATTGCCTTGTATACTTTCCCTACTACAAGGGTGCTGTGGGCCCATGAGATGATTATTTCATGTTAAAAGTGCTATTTCTTTTTCATTTGATTATCTAAATTATTTCTTGTGGGCTGAAGAACATTTTAGATATCAATCATTATATTGTGAATGATTGATTTATATTTCACTTTCGTGACCTCACTCTATTCACTGTTCTATACACAAACAAGAAAGAATATTGAAACACATTCGCAGTTCATAAATTTGATGGAAATTTATGCAACAAAAATATGTTGCTATCATTATAGATTTTATACTGGCGGATGTAGATTATTCAATGCAATATCTAAAGTCCACAAATGCAAAATTAGATTTCCAATTCAAAGTTGTTGTTTTCCACGGTACATACTATGTGTATTATACATTTTGCACTTCACTGTGAGAGATACACTTGCAAGAACATATATTTCTAGTGAGAACCATGCAAAATATTAAGTTTGTCATACATACGCTGTTTTCTTAGTTTTCTTTTTTTGAAATAGGCATGCTAAAAGGGAATATTCATTAGTCAACTGGATAAAAAAAATTAAAACATAAAAAACTATTCTTCTTGTCATAAATATAGGAAAATTATTGAGATTAGTGAACGTTTGTTATTACAAGTGCAAAAATTGATACCATAGAAGATAATAAACGAAGGCAAAAGATAACTTACATTTTCCCATATGAAGTTGGCAGTTTCATCAATGTATGAACCTACTTCTCTCATTTCTCCACTATACCTGAAATTAATTTGGCATGAGATTAAACAAGTACCATTTTTGATAAATACAGGGTGTTTCCGAAATTGATTCCTACAGTGGACAATAGAAGACAAAAAATGAAACAAAATAGATTACATTTTGGTCAAGAAAACGCATAATTTCAGAAAAGTTTAGCATGAAACATATGTAAACTATTGATCAGAGTTTATAATAGCAGAACCTAAGCGTTTGCTTTTAACAAGGCCAAAAGCACCGGGAGTATCAATGACTTTGACAATGTTGCCGAACGTTCAATAGTAATCAATACATTGTATGATATATAAGAGCATTCATGTTTTTGAAATTGTTGATTGTGACAATTTTTTTTGTGATTAATTGTTCAATTATATCCCATGTAACAAAGCATTTTATTTTTCGTTACAAATATAGGAACACCCTGTATACTTGAAAATAATTATCCGATGATTTGGCATGCTCACCTTGGAAAACTGAATTGTTAAAAAGTGTTTTCATCTTTGTGTTTATTTTGTTCTACAGGGTGTTTCTCAAGTAATTGTACATAGAAGTATGGTAGATTTAATGCATCAAAATACCATGATTTGCGCCAATTTGCTTGATAAAATATTGTTATTAAAAAATTCAAAAATCCATTATAAGTAATAACACAAACTCCAGAATATACAGATGATATACACAAGGTGTATAGGATACATGCTATCTTACCTGACGTATGCCCATGTACCAAGTGTCAGGAAAGCAACAGCCATTCCCAAATTGCATATGTTGGCCAATGTGTAAATGCCAATGAATCCGAAAATTCCAGATGTGATGTAAAATAAAACCGCCAAGGCGAAAAATACTGCAGGAGTCCTGGCGGATTTGAAGATGTTCTTGCCTTCGTTGTGTGCTTTGAATTGTACAAACGTTTCTTCAATATCCTACAAATAAACTATATTCATATACCTGGTGACAGGGTATCGGCCCACCCCTGTAACTTCTGCATTGGTCAACGGATTTTTCTAAAATTTGGTACAGTCATATAAGCAACTATTTCGGATTTGATCACATTACTATCCAATATGGCGGACTTCCGGTTTTTCTGGAAATGCCAGTAACTTTGTTTTTTCAAATGAAACACCCTGTATATTCAAGTTCAACAGCTCAAAACAAGTGCAATATTTATGACAAGATTCAGAATTGTTGTTTTCCACAGCTTACTTGTATGTATACAATTTGTTACTGCCATATACGTATTAATAATCAATACGGATAATCTCTATCTGTTTCCATAGCGAAACATGAAGCCGATTTTTGAAGACAAATGACTATCCATAAGGAAAAGTGAGATACGATCAGACACATACTGCTTTGATTGAAAGGCTAGTAAACGTCATTGTCCACCGAAACGCATGTCTTTGATGACTACTATGATAGCGCATGGCGCATGCGTATCATGCCACCAAATCCATATGGATATTCATTTGTTTCATATATTTGGCTTCATCCTGGCACCCGTTATGATCCGTATTGTTTATCAATACGTATATGGTTACTGCACGGAAATACAAGAATTATATGATATTTTTCCCCTCAGTGTATGTTCTAGAATCTAGAGAGACATGTAGGTAGTCCATAGGGGTTCCATTTGAAAAAAATGAATTTTTGATCAAAATGTGATGCGACTCCAATAATTCATAGATAGGTGACACAAGAAATAAAAATAATTTCTCAGAAAAAAATGTTTCTCCAGTATGTGGGACTCATTGTGAAAAGCCTGGACCATTTGACATTAAGATTGCACTTGTTTTGCCTTGTTCAACTAGAATATGTAAAATGAACAGGATATTTGAAGAAACAAAGCATATGATATATCGTTCGAAAGGTAATTGAAATTATGATCGAATGGTGAAATAATTTACAGGGTGTCCCATTTAAAAAAATTAAATTAGGTTCATATCTCGAAAACTGTTCGATGAATAATTTTGCTCTTATCAGTAATCAATTCAACTCAGAAGATTGCTATGAGAAAGTGTTATTCATTTTTTGACAGGACTCACGGTGATCGAGATAATGACGTCACCAATAAAAGGTAAAATCTCAAAAACGCTGTAGTTCGGCAGCCAAAAAAGATAGACAATCGCGGTTTGCGCCATTGTTTTTTTCACGAAAATCAAGCTCAGGACACCGTGGTCGGTTTTTGTTTAGCACTGATAGTTTCAGAGAAAACCCCAAATCCCATCGAATTTGGCCCACCTTGTACTGTTATGAGATCAAATCCGAGATGGTTGCTTATATGAGTGTACCAAATTTCAGACAAATCCGTTTACGTAAACATTCCAGATACTTGTTTTTTCTCAATTTTATTATATCTTCATCAATGAATTACATAATTCTGATAATAAACACAAAGCCAACAAGAATTAGAATGTTCAATATGCTTCCAGAAGAAGCAGAAGTAACTGTCATGATAAAAATAATCGAGTATATTGCGGTCTTGATTCTCGATTCATGTGCTCAGTCCCACCGTTACCATCGAGACTATAGGTTTGTTCGCGTTCGAAAAATAAACAGTCCGAAACCATCCCAAGCATGCGCAGTTCCACGGAACTTGAAAAATACGTCCAGTTCTGTGAAATTGCGCATGCTCCTGATGGTTTCGGACTGTTTATATTTTGAACGCGAACAAGCCTTATACGTCACATTGACAGCCGTCTTTGTCTCATAGGCACGCATGACGTCATGCGCAGACCAATGGCCCCGCCCACTGGTGCAATGTCATATCTTATATATTTCTTGAATATTGATTGGATTGATAGCTAATAGGGTATTTTGGTGAAATTTCGACCAAATCGTATACCTATTTATGTTTCGGCATGTTAGCACTATTTCGAGTTCCCGAGAAAAACTGATCATAAGGTTTTCTTTGTTTATTTAATACCAATATGTATACTTTCAATTTATATCATGTCAACATTTTGAATAAACTTTATTATTATTATTATTATTCGAGGAAACACAAAAGTTAGTTTGGAAGATCTTTCAAGTTGTTAATTCGCGGTTTGAACACTTGAGTGGTTTTCCATATGGATATCACCAATAAGCACAAACAAAAACAAATGTGAACCAATAAAAACGAAGTAAACCGACCGCTTTGATAGCTTTCAGAAACACCGATAGGTGGCGAACGCTTATTTTCTATCGCAAATAGATAATTTCATGTAGATTCTGAATTATTATTGATGAAAATAAAAAAAACGCATATTTCCTCAAAACACTTGTTTCTTGTGAAAAGAAGATATTGACCTGAAATGAAAACCATTGGTTGAGAAGGAACCTCACTCCAATCCAAAACCTAATGAAGCTGTGTTCAACAACTGACTTTTGCTACAGGGCAATCCCTGTATAATGATCAAGACATCAGGTTTTATTGAGACCTAAAATTCAGGCAAACATTCCGAAACACGAATAAACAATTTGGTCGAAATTCCACCAAAATCGGACGAAATTGAAAAAAATTACAGGGCGATCAATTTGGGTAATTTTTTTGTGACCGGCTTTTTTGCAGGTGCGTGTATTTATGTAGAAAATCTTGCAATGACACTGGACGATGTTCTCAACAGAAAAACGTTGCAATACCTTTTCCAATTGTTCTTTGTACGTCTGGCTGAACTCGTCTCCGCCCATTTTCTTTTTGCTGCTGAACTGCTGGATGGCCTTGTCTCTCACTCTGCGATGTTCGGTTTCGATGGTTTCCGTGTTCAGATAGGGCTTCGCTCCGCCACACACCTCCTCCATCATGGAAACGTACACTTCTTTGGCGTCCGCGACAGCCGCCAAGTTGTTTGCTTCGGCTGTCGCCTTGAAAAGTTAGATCCGATGAAATCTGGTGGGCTGAACCAGAGACGTTTAAACACCAGAGACGTCTAAACACCAGAGACTCCATCGTTTACGTTACATTATGAGGTTTTGCAAGTGAATTGAATGATTTAACACGAAATATGGTTACACTGTACCGAAGCCTAATTGTTTCTCATCAATTTTATTCAATTAATTACAATCTAATTGAATTAAGGGTGTTCATTTCAATTAAATTAACCCGTCCTAACTACTTTCCACTAGGGTCCCTTGATGGAAATTGACGTTAAAGTCATCTTAACAGGGTACGGACAGATCATAGCTGCATTCTTTTTTATTGATCTAGAGACTTTAGTTTTATCTACTGGCATCCCTGACATTGCTGTCACGTCACGTCCACGTTTTCTGGGTCGAACTTTATGATTTTTTGTCAAAATTGGGATATTCAAGATGGCGGCGGATCCAATATGGCGAACGAGCTTTGTAATAAATAGTTGTTTGAAAAATCAATTGAACACGCGTTCGTAGATACTTAGTCGAAGTAAGAAGAAGTAGAGAACATAAATAGTAGTTTAAAAAACTGAAGAGATAGATTGACGAGCTGAAATCGAGTATAAAATGAATAGTATCTTGAAAAACTAAAGAAACACGCTTTTATGAATATCCGAACTGAAAAGAAGTAGAAAATGAAATAAATAAAGTGTGCTGGTAAATATTTAACTAGAAGAATATTTTCTAGAAATATTGTGCATAGCAAAACAACGTTTGCCAAGTCAGCTAGTAATCTAGTAATGATATTTATTATTCGTTCCCAATATTCTTTGTATATTGTTGAAAAAAGCGAACTTAGTGGTTGTTTATTAGTTATTTATGTAACCGTGAAGTGAAATAGAAGATAAATTGACTTGCAGTTCTTTCACTTCATTCTCGGAGACCGTGTTATTGGCTTAAAGAAGATCCGGCAACTAATGCCTCCAAGTTCAATGATTTTTCCGTTAGGGCTCCTATCGAATTGGTTAAACAGATACCTCCAAGTGATAATGAGGTATTTGATAATGAAAAGGATTTCAACACAATGTTTTTGAACCCATTTACGGAACATGAATTACTCTCATTGTTAAAAAACAAACTAAAGAATGAAAAATCGTCTGGTCCAGATGACATACCGATGTTTATATTGAAAAGAGTTCTTCCTTTGATAATATTACCATCAACACATCTGGCAAAAACGTCATTTGTGAGAGGTGAATTTCCACACAAGTTAAAAACTGGTAGTCACTCCTATTTCCAAAAAGAAAGACACAACCCTTGTGGAAAATTATCGTCCTGTAATAGTCCCTTGTGGACTCTCGAAAGTTTTCGAATATGCCTTTTTGGAACGTCTTAATTCGTTTCTTGATAAACATTCTGTCTTGAGTAATAGGCAGCATGTACTTCGTTCTGAAAAATCTACGAACATAGCTATGTTCTCATTACTGAACAAAACCATAGAATACGTTGAATCAGGTGAATGTCCAGCGGTAATTCTTTGTGATCTTAGACGAGCGTTCGACTGTGTCAACCATCAAAAACTGAAGTCGAAATTAGAAAAGTATGGAATAAGAGCTAGGCGTATGTCTTAGTTGGTTCTCGTCATTTCTTCACAATCGAAAGCAATTTGTTTCCTTACAAGTACATTGATGACTGGCGAGGGGCAAGGAGTTGGGTGTTTTGGCTGGTTCAAGATTCAGAATTCTGATCACCCTGTATCTGCTCCGATTGAATATCAGTAAATAGTTAATGAAAAGTTGAGATAGGGACATGTGAGCCGTTTTGGCTGATAATGAATAGTTTCGGCACAAACAAATCCTGAAGTTGAAAAATCACGATTTTGAACACCCTATATCTCTGTAATCATTTCCGATAGACCCCAAGTTTGATGTATTGATGAAATAAGCTCTGAAAATGGAAACAAATACAGGGTATTCTATTTGATATAACAAAGTTGTTGCTACTTTTATTTAAAATGAAGAGAGCACGTATTCTAAAATATAAGCATGCATATTTTCATGTATTTCTCCTCACTGATTCTCGATATAGAGATAGTGTAAGCTTGTCGTGATATACCCTGTATGTTTTGTATCGTTTTTTGTATTTTTTCCGATCGAGGAATACTCTCTTCTGATTTTCGTGCTTTCTCTTCGAAACTGTATTTTTTGAGAATCTACCATCTTTAATAACTGTGATACAGAACGTAATCTCGATTTTGACAAAATCTTCATCAATGTCATAACTTTTGAACCACTGTGTATAATCGATTCATACTTGGTAGGTATATTCAACTCATATCACTCATCAAAACTAAATAGGAATCGAATTTAGAATCCAGATCCGTCTTCAGGCAAAACAGAAAACTTCTTCTTTCTCAATAACAACACTCTCTATACTAGAATTTTGTAGATATGTTCTGATATCTGCAAGGAGCAGGAAAAATCAATGAATTGGTCTACTTTTTAACAGTGCGCATTCAATTTGAAGAATAGAATTTTTATTGAACTGGTAATTCAAAATCCAATTTAATTAAAAAAAACTAACCACTCCTCAAATTTCAACTTAATTAGAGCTGCATTAGGTGAACTATCGATGGATTTTGTTCCGTAGAATAATTTGTCAATTATTTTAGTTATTTTCGTGAGCTCATTACATTTTCACACACACAAATGTCAAATTTGATGCCCGCTTATAAAAAGTAGGCCAAATTGTTCATTATTTTCCTACTCTTTCCAGTTATCAAAACATATCTAGAGATTTTGGGAAAGATTATATTTTCAGCCTGTCTTCAATCATTAGACTTTCGAAAATAATACTGTCAGAGTATATCCGTGTTCAATACTGTATCTTATATTTTGTATATTATATATCTTTTCTTGCCGTATAATTACATCATCATTAGTTATAGATTTCCCCCCGTATAATTCCACTATCATCATTAGTCATAGATAAATCATTTTTTGTTCGGAAATTAATCGGTTTGCAGCATGATTCAACTTATTAGTCATTCATTCGGGACCAGGTGGTATATCAAGACAGTCTTATTTCAGATGTCATCACGTACGGACGAATTTTGTGATCGACATCGAAAAATACGCGAAAGGAATTATATATCTTTACAAACTGAGTGTTTCCTAAAAACTGAGTGATTGTATTGATTCGTATACATATAGTGTTTTTGTATTCCTCATTCGATTCAATAATAATAATATCGGGATCGTGTGTTGTTCTAGTGTTTCGTGTTGTTTCATCGAAGCCTCACTTTTTCCACGCTGGTAAGTGCAGAGAAATTCTCTCAATTTTTCCTCAGATTTCTCTGTATTCATTTAACTTCATTACATTGTACAGGGTATGTCACGACGAGCTTACACTATCTTTAAATCGAGAATCAGTCGAGAAAAATCCATGAAAATGTGCATGCTTATATTTTGGTATACGTTCTTTTCATTTAAGATATGTTCGACAATGCAGTGTTGCCGCTTCTACTAGAAAGTAGTAGCAACATTGATATTTCGAACGGAACACCCAGTATTTTATCGCATTTTAAGATTCTCCCTGAAGAGCTGATCTCATCGATATATCATACTTGGGGTCAATCGAAAATGATTACAGAGATATAGGGTGTTCAAAATCGATATTATTCAACTTTAGGATTTTTTTGTGTCGAAAATATTCATTATCGGTCAAAACGGCTCACATGTCCCTATCTCAACTTTTGTTTTACTATTTATTGATATTTAACCGGAACAGATACAGGGTGGTTCAAGATTCAGAATTCTGATCACATGCATATTTTCTATTTCTCCCGACTGATTCTCGATATAGAGATAGTGTTAGCTCGTCGTGACATACCCTGTATGTTTCGTACCGTTTGTTGTATTTCGACAGAAATAATTTTTCAACTTTTTCACGCTGGCGAGTTTTTTTTTTTAATTTTTTTATTATGAGTGATAGTATAATCTGATAGATATTTTGAGCCGATAGCACTCGATACATCTAGAAATCTTAGAGTAGGTACTCCTTTGATTCATTTTCATATACATATACGTATTTTTTGTGAGAAATGTATGCGATTAGAACAAACCCGAAAAGAATTTGTCAATCCGTATCGCTAACTGTGCTAGGCTAGGTACCGCAACTGCCAATTTTCACAGAGAAATCGAAGTCGTTTGAAATGGTCAGACACGAATTGTCGAACTCTTATTATCCATATACACAGATTGGAAATTTGTCTCGAAATACCCTGTACTAATTGTATAATTTCCTATGGTATATTATATTGATATCCAGCCCCCATTCCTGGATAAGGTGATAAGTCATAAAATTTTAACCCCCTGTTGAAATATGAATAACTTTTTTCTGCTTTGAACAATTTGAATTTGGTTCACACTGTTCGCTAGTCCAGTTTTTCAGTTATAAGCTCGTACTTTTTTAAAACATGAGGTTCTTCATATAAACTCGCTACAGGGTAAAACTGTGAAAAAATTTTGAATTTTCAAAAGGATCCCAAATGAAAGAAAACTTTTTTTTTCAACTTTGACAGCAGATTACCTTGAGACATTATTTTTCGAATTGTCTTATTATCCCTTTTACTCACAGAGTGATATCGAAAAATTAACTATTAGGGTTTGCAGTCATAACTTTTTTCCTTCCCAACCGATTTTTAAAATCTCAGGCTCATTTTGAAGATGAAACTTCAGATGAAGAGATAGGAAGATCAGAATTGTCTCAAGATGATCATTGCACAGTGTGTGTCTCACTTTCAATGGAAGCATCTCTGTATCTTTCATATTTGTTTAGTTAGGATTCTGAAATTTGCAGGAACGGTAGATATGTACTGAAAGTACACACTATGACCAAGTGGAGTCATCTTCAGTGACATACACTGCTTGCTAACAGCCATGGAACCATCCACAAAAATGGAATAGACGAGTTGACTAATTTTTTTTTATTTCTTAAATAGAATCATCATT